TCTATTCCTCTATTCCTTCCATCCGCCCGCGCGGATCAGCGAGAGCAGAAATACGATGGGTGAGCGAGAGGAATCGCTACTTTTTTTCGGTGCGGGCCAATCGGTGCGTGGCAGCTGCGATCCTTTCCCGAATCTCTTTCCTTTCGCGTGTGTTCCCTCTTTTCTTCGGCCCGACACAGGCCCAGGTTTTCCCCGGGTAATCCCTTCGAGGAAGAACGCACGACGGCCGAGGGGAGGGAGAGAAAACAGAGAGAGAGAGAGAGCGAGAGAGGGAGGGAGGGAGGGAGAGGAGAGAAGGGGGACAGAGCGGTTTTTGCGCGCGCGGGAGCGGAAGAAACGAGGATGGCCCGCGAGAGAGGACGACCGACGATCCCGCGCTGTTTGCCTTTTATTAAACTCTTGTTAAACGCCGCCTTTCACCGCACACACAATTGAATCGGCAAAACAGCGAAGATAATACTCCGGTATACGCCCGCAGGACCCGGAGGCTGCAACGGGAGAGGGACGGAGAGCGGACGAGGGAGAGCAAAAGAGAGATAGAGAGAGGGAGGGAGAGAGGAGGGAAGACTTACCGCAAACACTAGTTCCTTGTACGTCTTGAAATGGACACCGTGTAATCCGCCTCTTTATGCAGCGACTGCGGGAATCGCCCGGGATTCCTCTCTCAGCCGAGGATCTCGCTCGCGCGGGGGTGGACCTTCGGCGTGAAAGGTGGGCCCCTCCGATCGGGCAGGGCCCCCCGAGATCGATTTCTCGTGAAAGGGAAACCTCCGCGAAAACGGCGCGGTCCGCCCTCCGCAAAACGGGCCCCCGTTTAATGAAAATATTTGGATGTTTCCTCGACTCGAGGTCGACACAGGTCATTGAAAGGGGCCCGTTTCGGCCTCAAAGGGCTGGAATCGTGGGCCCTTCTTCCTTGATTGCGCGCGCGCGCGCGTTTACGGAACCCTTCGCCGTCTCGAGGCCACTTTAAACGATCCACAATGCAGAATTGAGTTCTATTGATACCTTTGTGCCGCGTAATACGAGAAATATTTCAGAGGGAATCTGGATATGCGACTGTATAAAATTGTACGTTACTAGGCACACGTATGAAAATACATAAAGTTTATTTTGAAGCAGCGTTTCTCAAACCGGCAGGCGCGGTAACGTTTTCGCGGGGGGTCGTTTTTCCAATTTTTCTTTAACCGGACGAAACAGCCTCGCCCTGGCGAAAATTTTAAGTGAGAGACAACGTTTATATTTATTTATGAAGAGTTTTATCGATAGCTACATTGTTTATAAAGCGTTTTATTGATGGTCACACCGTTTGGTAGTATGTTGCAAACACCTGGTTAATTCTTTGCTGACAATAACATTTTACAAACACTTGGAAAACTATAATGGAAACGTTTGACATTGTATCGTTAAACGCAATTTGAACACCTGTAATCGTGAACGTGTCATAAACAACTCCATGTTTAAATTTATATCTCACAAACATTTCAATAGATATTTTAAAACCCAAATAAAACATTGACTCAACATTTAAACAAACTTCTTATAAACATTTTATTTTCGCCAGGGCGCTGTACCCTCCTGGGTTTTCGCGGGGTGGTTCATGGGGCTAAAACTGTCTGAGAGACGCTACTTTAAACAATTTACAATTAAATCATATTTGTTTAAAAAATATATAATTTGTAATTACTCATGCATTGCGTGATGTAAAAAAATATATATAAAAAGAATCGAAATGTGTACGGAACGTAAAGTGTGCACGTGCGCGAAAATACACACGACGTATAAAAACTAGAAATAAAATTCAATAGAACCTGTATTACACGTGTAGATTATTAAAGCGGACTATTAATCACTTTAAAACGATTATTCCAAGCTTTTATTAAAAAAGACGACATGCGCGTTACGCTTTATTCGTTTTTCGCTAAAAAAAAATACGTATCTCGATATTATTCGATGGAGAATCGAAAGTATAAATGGATATTAACACTTCGTTCGGAGCTTCGCTCTGGGATCGATTAGGAAACAATAAATAAATAAAAAAATACACAGCAAAAATCTGCGCGTGTTTTCCCGCGACCGTCTACCCGCGCGACGATTATTATTATCCGCGGTTCGCGCTCGTAACGGTTCGTTGCGTCACCGCGTCGCCCCGCGCCGCCCCGCTCTCCCGGGCACGCATCGGTGACATCGGTTTATAAAAAAAACACTTTTAATCGCTGGCTTGAGATATGTCTCAACATCAGAGGTTACGCCGTGAAAAATAACGGCGATATCGCGGCCCGGCGGTTCTATCGTTATTTATTGCCGCGGCAGAAATGAAATTCCTGGAAAGGGGGGGGAGAAAACCGGGCGTTTTTCTCTCGATCGAATCGCGCGCAAACACACGCGGCCGCGCCGCGCCGCGAATAATAATGCCCCGGCTGTCTCGCGGAAATCGGCGCGGGTGCTGCGCACCGAGGGGGGGAAAAAATGGTAAAATTCCCAGCTCGTTACGCGACTCGTTGCGGGACAATCGCTTGAGCCCCTTCCGAGAAACAGTCCCCTCGAGAGAGGCTCGCGTCTATCTACGTTTGTCCACAATGCGTTTAGCATCGTTGCGAATTGGAACGAAACGCAAGTGGATCAAATTCATCCTCGGCAAAATTTGCAACCGAGCATCCAGAAAGTTGGGCTGCTCACGTTTCGTGATCCAAATAGGCCAGCGCGTGTCGAGGGCCTGTTCGCCACTTTCAGACGCCCTTTTGTTTTACTACAACGCGATAGTCTCCAATTTGATTCATTCGGAACTAAAACAATGCGACTTGATTTATTTATATTTTCAGCGCTCAAGTTTACTTAACGCTCGCTCTCGATTTTTATTTTAACTCACTTTAAACGACCTGTAATTCGTGTCGGATTTGTCAAACACTAATTTTGTATGTATTTGATAATACACGTATTACGTACGCGCATATTCGCGTAATGTTTCTCGCGTTACACGATATCGCACAATTAGAAATGAAGTTCTACCTTGGTTTTTTTTCTATTTATAATTTTACGTGCCACGTTTTGATATACGCGCGGCGCTTTCGTACGCGCATATGTTCTGATTCTTGGAGCAATTTTCGTTTCGTAAAAACGTGCAAAATTACACGGTAAAATTGCATCCCGGGCTCCAATCCAGATCGTCGAAAGCGGATCTAGGTAGCGTAGCGTGGAAAAAAAAGAAGAGCCCGCGGCGGAGTGATTTATAAACATCGTGTATTTCTGTGCTGTGTATTTCGTAGTCGGCTCGACAATGACGGGAGCGAAAAACAGCTTTAATCGTTCGCCCGCGCATTATCTCGCGCGATTCATTTCTCCTTTTCGTACGCACCTACACAGTGGTAACGAGGTAAAAACTAAGTACTCGTACAAAACGTAGAATATTGTTCTCCATCTTTTTTTTCCAGTTTTCATTTCCCTTTAAAGTCGGGGGGAGGAGTAGAAATTTTTGCTTTAAGGGCACGTGGTAGGACTTCTGTACGCGCACACTTATGCATCGTTTTATATATATATATATGTATATATATATATACACACATGTTCTTTTTTCTCCCCTACGTATACTTTCAACGGAGACGACGTTATGCGATGCGGTACTTCCGACAGGTGTAGATGCAATGTAATATGGTAATTTACGTTTCGCGCTTCTGTGCTTACATTTTCCTTATTGATTGCCGTTACTTTGCTCGTCGTCCTCTCCCTCGTCCACCCAATCGTCAGCCTCTCTCGCTCATTATCCGCGGCGATTATTATAATTGACTAATAAATACAGTGGCGAAAGTACGAGATTACAGAATCTGGCCTGCGCTCACGCAACACGCGAAGCCTCCGAGATACCGATAATTGATACATATATACTTAATTGCTAGCCGCTCTCATTAGGTGTTACACAACGCTTGACCTTCCGACCGCAAAGCTCTTTTGCTCTATGTGCAACTAGCAGCGATAATTACATCACCGACTTATCGATGGATAAGCGCATTTTAATTTAGCACGTAACCGCTCGCTTCCGCGTCGCGTTGCAGGTGGCAGATGGAAAAAATGCGTCGGACGCTAAGCGGATTAAAGAAGTAAACAGAGGGTAGCTGTGTGTAAGCAATTGTAGAATAAAACGCGGCACCTTAAAAAGACGAATTTAAAAGAGCCTGTTTTTCGGACGGAACTGCGTGGTAAGAGTAAAATGGCATTAATCTGAAATAGTCCCGTCTCTAAAAAAAAAAACCCCCCGTTCAAGGTGACTTTTAATAAATACATAGGCTGCGTTCAGCAGAAAAAGCTGCTTTGCAACTGTTGTAAAATTCGTGAATCTGATTGGTGTATTCTCTTAATCTTGAGTGAATTTAAGAGCATACGCCAATCAGATTCACGAATTTTACAACAGTTGCAAAGCAGTTTTTTCTGCTGAACGTAGCCATTATTTGTACACAATTTCAGACATTTCTATCCCAGAATCTATCTCTATCTTTACTTAGGCCCGGTATTTCATTTTCTGATTACCTGTTAACCGGAAGTTAGTCGACTCTCAATCTTTTATTATTACCTGAGAAAAGGCAGAGAGTCGACTAACCTCTGGTTAACAGTTAACCAGAAAATGAAAAACCAGGCCCTTAATCGTGATCTGCTAAAATCGCTAGGTTTCCGTTTTTCAAAGATGCCTCATGACAACCACGACATTGCATTTTGTGCAACCAACTGACGCTACTTTACTTAATGAGTTACTTTCGGAGAGTTTCTCAGTTCGAAGTAAGCTCGTGCGACAAGATACGGATACGCGTTGCCAGTTTGTACCAGTTTAGTCAGTTTTATCCGGTGGCACGGAGAAATGCGCGACGACACATATCTTTTACGTAGATACGTACTAGGCATAGATCCTAATGTAGCCGTTTCTTACTTATTACCATTAATCATCCTATGCACAACCAAAATAACTATACCAGTATAAATGCTGGTAACCTTCTTTCGCCTCTTTTTTTTTCTTTGCACGCATCGCAAGTTCTTATTTTACTTAGAGAGAAGTGTAAAAACTAGCTTAAATCTACTTCACTTAGATCTCGCCCTTTTTTTTTCGCTCTCCCGCACGAAACGATCATTTCATTTCTCACAGTTTTATGCGTCCGCTATAAAGTCGTACAGCGCAGAATTTTTACGTCCTGAAAGTGTGTTAGGGTTCTTTGTTATCACGTCGATGTCTTTCTGCCAAACTGCGCGACACGAAATATAAATTGGCACTTCATTTCTTCATTCTGGGCTGTATAAGGAGACAGTCTAACACGGTGAAATAAATTTCTGTTCCTAAACTCGAAGAACGATTCCGATTAGGGAGAGAGTTTTAGTATCAGGGATGAAGGTTGATTTACATATATCAGCGAGGTGTCCGTTCAGTTCCGTCAGTATCAGTGATAATAAATATTGTTTTCTTGTTTTACAATGGACGTGTTCACACACGTCCGGCACAGTCCCGTATTCGGGCCGTTCCATCTCATTTGCTTTTTTGTTCATATAAAGTTGTAACAATCAATGTCAATTCGTCATCTATGTATAAACTTGAGTCATCTTGAAAATCATTGCATCCAAACTGTATGGATAGGTGTGATTAACCGTCACTGATATATCACGAACATCACTGACACGGCATTGATACGTCACGAATATGTGTAAATGCACCTTGACGCGAATTTGTCCCACGATGCGTCTTTTTCTCAAAACAACGATAGAGTCTAATGTCCTTAATGTCACGCTTATCCGAAGACTAATGATCAGTATTATTTATATATTTTTTATATATTTTTAATAAATTCGTAGTGCAGTTGGTCGTTAAAAAAATATAAGGAGGAGAAAGAGGGGAAAAAAACAAATAAATTAATCAGACATTTCCAAAGAAAACCGTACTTTGTAAATATTATCCTACGAAAATATCTTCTTTCACTTTGCCATATCTATGTTAGATAGAAATCGTCAACGAGATAAGACACAATTTACAAATGTAATATCCAGGATTCGAGTTTTGATTGCCGAATGTTTTTGTCCTTTTACTGACGCGGATTTAAAAACTAAGTGTTTAAATGCTATGTCATCTCCACGGAGAAATACGTATCGTACATGATACGTAAACTGTAAACTCGGTAAGAATACATACATCGAAAATATATAGATATGTATAATATATACATCTTTCTGTTGTAGAGTCAAAGTAGAAGTTTCAGTCGCACGGAAAACACTTATCGCGATATCATTATGTACTTCGCGCGAGCTAGATATTTTTCTCGGGCTAAAGTCTATCCGGCGTCGAAAAATACATCGATTCAGAGACATTAAAAGCTACAGAGTCAACGCAACGATCTCATTCCTCGTGTCTGTTAGTTTAACTCGACGTTGAAAAAAAAATATATATATATATTGTTATTACAGGCCTTAATTAGGAAGAACCGTCTCGTTTCTTTGACCTTTCCGATCGCGACCATTTCTTTAGCGGCTATACTTGACCAGGGCTTAGGCGTGGGCCTCATTAACTTCTCTTCAACTCTTTTACCTGCGCTGAAATCGCTCGCGGCGATCCCTTCGTTACCTCTTGCTCCTCCATTTGTGTTGGCTGATTTTATTACGCTATGACTACATTATAACCCTACGATATATATCGCGTCGTATATACCTGATATGTAAACGAGGGACATTTGAGCATCACCTATGATTCGAGTGGCGTTTTTGGCGGGGTGTAAGACATCTCCATCGTGATGCCGCCGCTACCGCGTCGGAATCGCGACGGGATTCCCGGGATGTCGATGCTGTTGCGGGGCTTGCGCCTGCTGAGGTGTCTCTCGACCCACTTCAACATCGTCAGAACCGAGTCCGTGCTGGGCAGACGTCTTTCCGCGGACGTGCGAATGATGTCCGATGACGCCACGCGGAAAGTGGCGGCCATACCTTTCAGTGCCTGGACGGAAACAGATTTATATTCTCATTATGACCGATACGCTAATGCGAACGTCGCTCTTGACGGGGGCCGAAAGATATCCTCGCTCGGACAGGAGCGGCGGAATCGATGCAACTTCGTACCTTCATCGCGTCCTCGTCCGTGACATCGTCACCGACGTATATAATTCTGATACGCTCGCTCCAATCCAGGCCGAACGCCGTGCGCAGGATGTAGATAGAGGCACGGCCCTTGTTCCACTCGACCGCTGGCTTCGCCTCGATGGCGCAGTGCGCGGCGCAGGCCTTGAATCCCGCGCCCTCGATAAGTCTTTTGGCAAGATCGACCATCTTCGGGCGACCCTCCATCGGAGTTTCGCGATAGTGGAACGTGAGAAGGGCACCCTTGTTCTCGACCCAGGCACCGTCCCTACAAAGCTTTATCAGCACAGCAGACGTGAATACATTGTAGATTTTATCGGGATAAATACAGAGAACGTGTGCGTTTATGATTTGAATCTCTCAACTACTTCGCGTGACATTCGTGAAAGATTTAATCAATTAAATATGTATTAACGATACAACGCCGCTGACGATTCCACAGTCATTACGGACCATTCATCATCCTCCGTCAAAACCTTCCGAGCGGCATTGCATTCACACCTGTATCTATAACACGAGGATCGATGGAGATCTCGCGTACCTGTTCTTGAAGAGTTTGCATCAGACTGGCTACCTTGTCCTCCAGTTCGGCTGGCATGGGATGGACGAACTTACTTCCGTCCGGATGCAGGATCTCCAGTCCATGATTCCCGGCGTACGTGATACCCTCTATCCCGACCATCGACTTCACGTTGTTCACGTTTCTGCCCGAGATAATCGCGATGTAAACGTCCGACATGTTCGACAGCCTCTGCAGGACGTTCTTCGTCTCGAGCGGCAGGATCGCCAGGTCGGGATGCGTGGCGATGGGCGCCAGCGTGCCGTCGTAATCCAGGAGGAGCGCCAATTTATGATTATCACCGATGTACCTAGGGGACATGTGGTTGTCACTGGATCGTTATCCGGCTTTCGTCATGAGTCAGGTAACATTCGCTCGCGCGGGCCCGCCGTCATCTCGTAAAAGCGTGCTCTTATCAATGCTCTCTCAATCCTCGTACACCCCGACTTACAAGGTCGTGGGGATGTTTTGGATCAGGGGGATATATTTAGGATCGATACATCTCACATAGCAGGAGAGTGCGTCGTAATTGCATCGTCGTCACCGCCATCGGCGACGACGTCACAAGCATAGCCGCGTCGTATCGTCACGCTGCGACGTACCCAAACTCATGCTCGGCTTAAGAGTATCAGAAGCGTAGCTGGTTCACTTAATTACTAATTTCACGACTTCGGTCTCGAGTATCAAGTGCAGTGAGCTCGAGAGCTTGCGCTCCTCTCACTGCCTCTCACGCGAGAATGATAATCGTCTCGCGCGAATACTCGTTTACTTATTGTAAGGATATCGGTGCGTTATCACACCTTATGGATATCTCCCGTTTCATGCGCATGCGCTGGTCGGGCCCAGTCATGCACATCTCTTGGCGGATCTGATACCTACTTGCTCAGGTAATCGTCGAAATCATCCATTGTCACGGGCTGCATCGTGGTAGCGCCCACGGAGTCATGCTCTTCGAGAGATCCCATCACCTGGAGGAAGGACTTCATCCAATAATTGACGTCGTATATCCGCTCACGTCGGCGCAGGTGGTTCATTCTCAACGTGCGTTCGTCCTCGGGCATGGTGAGCGCCCTGTCGAGGATCGCGATTAAATCACTCCGTATACCAAAGTGCACCTTAATTAAAACTAGATCGCAAAGTGTGGAAACGCGAAACCTCGCATGGACAAAAACGGCGTATAATTTACTCTAGTCCAGACCGGTCCCGTTACGGTGGCAAATCAGGTACCTGTGAATCACTTCCGCGGCCTCGTCGATCTCATAAGGATTGCAAATCAAGGCCTCGTGCATCATCTCGCCGGCGCCGGCGAACGGCGACACTATCAGCACTCCCGGAGGCGTGTTGATCTGACAGGCGACGAATTCCTTGGCGACCAGGTTCATGCCGTCCCGGAGCGGCGTGACGAGAGCAACGGCGGCGTCCCTGTAGAACGCCGCTAGCTCGTCCTGGCTCACGCAGCCGTAGATGTAACGTATGGGCGACCAGTTGGGCGTAGTGAAGCGACCGTTTATGCAGCCGATCAGCTGGTCCATCTCGAGCTTCAGGTCCTGGTACTCGCGAACGTCAGTGCGTGAGGGTACTGCGATTTGAAGCATCGTCACCTAACATACGCCACGCAACGTGATTTGAATATGACCGTTCGACCGCGTCTGATACCGTCGGCTTTGCGAGGCAAGAGCTCGCAGGTAAAGCAGCATTAGATAATGACCTGTTCGCGGTGCTCGGGATGTTTCTCCAATAGCATCTCGAAGGCTTTCAGTCTGTGAACGAGGCCCTTCGTGTAATCGAGCCGGTCGACGCCGAGGACGATCTTCTGACTCGACTGCATGACCTTCTCCGCGGTCTCCGCCAACGAGACGAACCTGTCGAACGGTATGCCGATCGGCAGCGGTCTTACCCGCACCGTTCTACCGCCGTGCTCGACCAACAAGTTCTTACGGTCCACTCTGCAGCCGAGACACCTCTGGCAGCAATCGACGAAGTTGAGGCAATAATCCTGAATGTGGAAACCCACCATGTCGCATCCTAAACGTCGCCACAACGAGAGTCTAACGTTAGAAATTGATCCGCGAGGAGTTTTCCCGAGTTGCGATCGGGGATCACTCACCCAGCATACCCTGCAGGATCTCATCGGCCCACGGGAACAGCCTGAAGATGTCCCACGGCGGAAACGGTATGTGAAGGAAGAAACCTAATTTAAGTCTGAGATTCTTCTCTTCGGCCGCCTGTCTGATCCAATTGGCGGCTAACATAAGATGATAATCGTGCACCCACACCAACGGCGTGCCGTTCTGCTGGTTCTCCTGTTCCTTGTGAATTTGTTCCAGCGCGCCGACCTGCATCAGACAGATTCGCCTGATGTTCGAGAGAGCTAAGAATTTGCTTCGTTTACTATTTTCATGACATTTAACTCGTAATTATTGCAACTTCCTTTTGCATTGCGAGGGTTGCAAATATTTTTAGTTCAGAATTCAGTTTTCGATACAATTTTTGTAGCTTCGTTTCAATCTCACGTCCTCTGACCCTTCCTTTGTGAGTCAATTCCGTTTTTCGTTGTAATTAACTATTGAATTTCAGTTTTATTAATATTTGATCATCATGAACCCGAAATAGGTTTTTTAAATGTTGTCTTTACAAAATGCAATAACTGTGTACATCCAATACACACGCCTCACTTTGTCGGAGAACGTAAGATTATCTAAAGATCAATTAAAAATCATGTAATTTATATATCACCGCGTCGCGCTGAGGACGCAGAGCCGAAACGTACGAATTATCACGAGACAGGGTAGTGTCTCGCGCCAAGTATAAGCGAAAAGTTTTAAAGTGACATATATTTTACCACGGAATGTTAATTGAGTACCGATTGATTCACGCATCTTAATAATAACTGCGTCTTGATTCTCGAAGCCGACTCTTTGTAATTCGTTTTGTTACAGTGAATATTATCTGACAAAATCGTACTGTCTTCGCGGCGAACTGTTCGTTGACCGCGGAATACGCGCGCCAGTGTTCCGCGATGAAGGTCGCCCGATCCGGCATGGAGTGGAAGAGGGGCCAGAAGGTTCCATTGCAGCATCCGTTGTAATACGAGTCGAAGATGCCGGCGTCAACGTGCACCGCGACAACCTGAAAGTAAAGGAGGGAAGATTAAGATTGAGAACTCGGGGGGGATTCCTCGTCGCGATTTCTCCGCGATCGTTCGTACTCGCCGATGATGCAATGTTTCGGGAGGATCTATAGTTGCAAGCATATTGGTGCAATGCAATCGTCGTGTCAGACAACGTCACAGAATACGACGGAGCACCTTGGCGAACACGCCAATGAGTGTAACTGTATTTTTAGGTGTTCCACATGTGAAGCGAGTAATCTCCTACAGCCATGTACGCATATATACACATAAATATGCAAGTTGTTATTGTTAACAATAATAATTATTAATATTGTTGCACATTAATTATTAATTATTAACAATTACTGTTAAATATATAATTAAACGTTTCATTTAAAATGACAATGTTTAGCAATAACGTTGTATGTACAGAATTGTGATTACGGCGGGCATTTCGAGCGTTCCTTTACATTTATAATTCAGAAAATAGAGAGTAACAACTTAAGCTTATGTACTTCTTTTCATTTTGGAACTGTAAAGTTGGTACCTCATATCTCAAAAAATCATTTTTTTTTCAGTTCTGAATGCACCCCGAAGAGTTCTAGAGTTCCTTATCAATTTTAAAAATAGTTCTGGCGAATTAATCTAAAAAAATTAAATTAAATTTGAAACTTGGGGACGCTGACTTCACAAAATGATATCTCGAAATCAGCGATAACACTAAAAGTATTGGAAATATTTAATTTTGCCATTAGGATTTCCTTTAGAACTCTTGAGGGGCTACCCAGAACTCCCAACAGAACTGCTGGAGCTGTTAAAAAATTTTCCTCCTTCGGGGACTTGGAAATTTGTACAGAATGTTACAAAAAAGAAAGTTACAGTGAGCAAAAATATTTTTAGAAGCTTCTATATAATATCTTAGTGAGAAATGATTCGTCGAAACAATGTCGACATCGACATTGTCAAATTCGACGTCGACCGACGAATCATTTCTCGCTGGGAAAAGTCATTTCTCGGTGTACACGGGAAAAAGAATACTGTTAAATTAAACCAAATGACGTTGCTCGAATTAAACGTTAACGTCACGGGCTGCCACAAACATAAATAATTCACTCAACTGTATTTGCTATGGATTTTAATTTCAAGCATTGAACTAAATATTCAGAATATTAAGACAACAATATGATGCTTTTTATTTATTGATACTCATGTTGTTTCAACGATTTTATTTCAATTACACTGATCTTGTTGATGCAACATCATTCTTTTTTCCGTGTACAGGAGGAAAGGTCAATATTCTGGGAGGTGATAGTATCGGTCACTTTAAACACAAATGTTCACATGAATACATGTCCCATTCCCGACTGTTCCCGAGACAGAGCACATTTTGTTGACGTCCTCGTTCAGATAAAACATGAACAACTGGGAAGCGTTCCACTTTCACGCAATGTATTGAAAACCTTGGAAAACACTTTACGATTCGGAATTCTGCGCGTAGGAAAGCGTCGACGATATTCTGCAGCAGCAGCAGCAGCAGCAGCAGCACTACCATCACAGAAACCGTAAACATACAGCGTATCTGCTTATTCGACATTTGTGAATATGCGAGGCATTTTCAACATTTTTACAATGTTATCAGCACAACAGTCAACAGACGTATAAGAGTAAATTCCCGCAGACGTTTATGAGGCTGGATGAAGGGTGCGGTGCACAGAAAAAAAAGTGAATACGCGAGACATTCAAGTAGCTCTATCTCGGAAACAGTGGGGAATGGGACATATATTCGTATGGACATTTTTGCTTAAAATGACCGATACTATCACCTCCCAGAACCTTTCCTCCTGGTACACCCTGTATGCAAGGTTGTATATCGCGTGTCGAGGCTCGAGTTAAAATCGAACATTCGACGGAAAGGGAGTCGCGAGGCGGGAAATCGGTCCGATAAGAAATGGGACAGAGATAGTGAGTATCCGGCCGTCGCATCGGAAGCGCGTAAAATTCGATTTCGACCGATCGCGCCCCTCGTTCTCCCGCGAAAACTCTGTTATTTTGCCCGCGACATTGCCTCCTTTATTTCCGAGCGCGAGCGTGAAAACAGGCCGCGCCAAGAGGGATCGCTCCGCCTGACGCAAGCGAGCAATCGCTCTCTGACGGGCGATAACGCGGTTTAATACTTTTCACGATAGACACAACCAACCGCGCGGGCTGACGGTTTGTTGTTTCTCCGCGACGCGGATATCGCCGCTTTACGGGCACATTAATTAAGAGAGGTCAGGGAAAGCGACGGCGGCTTCTCTCCCCCGTCGCGTACATACGTCCGGACGGATCGGGAGATCGGTCGCGCATTGTTTTATCTCGGGACGGAGGGAGAAGGAGGGGGGGGGGGGAGGAGAAGAGTCTCGTACGTCGTCGGAGTTGCTTAACCGGCGGCCACGATAATACGATATCAATTCACCGACGATTTCTTTAATCGTCGAGCGAGATCGGGTGGAAAGAAGCGATGACCTCGATCGATTTTAATTTGAGGGATCGCGGGGTCAGAACTGTGTTAAAAGCGCTTGCCGCTCTGAATTAAACTCCGAAGCGTCGCGTAAAGCATCGCGAGCGCGATTAAAGCTTATTCTGCAATGGACGCGAGACGCTAAACTGCGAGAGATCGACCAATCGCAGTCAGCTATGAGAAGAACGAACGACCGCCATTGGCCGATTTCTCGCGTTGCGACTTAGCGTCTGGCGTTTTGCGTCCATTGTAGAATAAGCTTTAGAGACCGCTAACGGCGCGTTTCGCGCGGTCAGCGTCTCCCAAGGAGTCCTCCCAATTAAATTTGGCGCGTGCACACGTGTCGAGACACTTTCGATTCGCGCGCGACCACAGATCGATCGAGTACCGTTCGCGGGAAATTTGAAAAATATCCCGTATCGTAATTTTAGTTACAAGGAGAGATACTTGCAAGTCGGCCAGCAAATAAAAAGTATACCAGTTCCGACTGGTATGCTGATTGGTATACCGACGCATACCAGTTCCGCGGCGTAATTATTTCGGCGCGATCATCTCGAATCCCCGTCCGTTACTTTGCCGAGATACTCGAGTTATCTTTGTTATTTAGAGGCATCAGCGGCGAATCGCATCGGCGGTAGGATTTTATGGAAACGTGTATCTCGCGTTTCGCCGGACGGTCCATTTAGGAAATAATGAAAACACTTTAATTGCTCGTTATCGCGTGTCTCGCAAGCGTACTCCACGTGACATGATAGCCGGCTTTCCCCCCTTGAAGCGTTGTTTTTCCTTCTCGCCTTCTTTGTTTCCTACATGCTCGTCGTGTGTTATGCAAACATATTATTGAACGGCACGGCCAGCGATAGACGGCAAAATAGGGCGGCCCGAGCAAAGAACGGTCGATGTAAGGCGGAAAAGCAAGTCTCAGAGCGAAGGACTTTTATGGTGTAACAGCGAAAAACTTATTCATAAGTGTCGAGAGACCTGGCGGTATCGATGAAAATTGGCGAAATTATTGCATTCGCATTTTCACAAAGAGAACAAGAGAGAAGCGGTGATTAATTCCGGTATAAATGAGTTATCTTTCTAAAATAGGGTAATCTCTGTAAAAAAAAGGCATATCTCTAAATAAAGGTATCACTCTGGAAAAGGAATGTTTTTTTAGATCCCCTTCCTTGTATTTTTACAGCATCAAGACGTCTAAAGCTTTCGTTTATCTTTGCCAGTATCATTTTCGTTTGGGAATAACAATTTTTCTCCGCGTAATTTTTCGAACATTTCGACATGTTTGCTCGCGATTTGTGCGCGAAATTAACACTTTCCGGAATCGGTGCGAAAGCGCGGCTTATCGATTCTCTGAGCTTAAAGAGTTTCGGAGTCACCGGGGTCAGTTTGTATCTCTTTTTTTTCCCTCTCTTTCCCCAAATAAGCCCGGTTCTACATCGTATCGTAGCGTCGCAAGCGTCGCAAATTATAGATTCGACCCATCAAATTAGAACCTGGGGCTCGATTCTCGAATTCATTCGAAGGAGAAACGTATGCGAAACTCCTGCTCTGACGGAAAAAGTTGAAAGTCGATTGATTAAAGGCCACGCGAATAGCCAATCAACTTGCAACTTTTCTGTAAGAGCAGAATTTTCGCGTACGTTTCTCCTTTGAATGAATTCAAGAATCGAGCGCCAGTCTGCGACCCTTGCGACACTACGATACGACCAACGTAGAACCGGCTTAAAGGCTGCAGATCAGACTAGCAATTGGATTCGGATTGGCAATTGCTAGACTGATTCGGCCAGTACAGTGGCAGATTTGCGTCTTGCCGCAGCTGAAAATTTCCACGATAATCATTAACGGCCGTCGCCACGCAGCCTGCGATCAGCGGCGCGCTTCATCGCCGCCGTTTCGTCCAACGCCGTGCCGTAGACTTATCGCCCGGACATCGTTATCGGCGATCTTGAAATCCACGTGATTCGTCCGCGACGCCCGCACGCGTGGGTGTATACGTGGTATCCGCCGCTAATCGCCGCCGGCAGCTACAAGTCGTTATTTTACAGGCGCGATAGGCTTTGCAACGCTGTCATGCAGCCGATAACCCACCGATCGACCTCGTGACACGAATATCCGTGACACTGCCAGCCACTTCGAACTCATTCACGCGCGAAATCGCGTTAGGCGATCGATAGAAGTAATAATAAAAGTAATAATAAAAATTTTTTTAAATAACAACAACGGACTATAACGAGCTACGCGCTCGACATTATGTGTCCGCGCTACGCAATACGCGAAAGCGCGCTTATCCAAGTTCAATCTCGCCGATGAAGAATCGAATCGGAGGTCGAAGATCAGTTAGCCCAGTTCACACGGGGCGCAGATAAACGCGGAAAGTACGTGCATAATACTGTTACGTTATCAGCACAGTTTTCTCAGATGCGTTGGCGTGTCCGAACGTCGGAGTTTCGACATTTGTCTCGCGCTGTCAAGGAGAAAAGACGAGCCGAACGTCTCTCTTTCTCTTTCGTATCGACAGTTTTCCGAGTCGAGTATTTGGTCCCGGAATGGGGACTCAATTATTCTATTCATTATTTAGACCTCGGAATCGGTTTGAAACTCCAGTTTGAGGCCCAGATGAGTAAAAAAATTGCGTTTAACCTCATTCTGACCCTCAAAGAGAATATAATAAAATATTTCATCCTCTTTGAAGCCTCTTAGGCCGAAGAGGATCTACCAAACCTCTGTTAATTACACTCGCACTGGCCTCTTTACTGCTGACAAATGACAAGAGGAGTATGTAAGAGGGTGTATGTAAGTGTACTTGTAAGAGAGAAATAGCGACTCTTTTCAGGCCTATCTGAGGTCAAAAATTCAACATGAAGACCTTGGTTCGGCCTCGTTGTTCCCAGTTAAAAAAATTATACGAGGCTAAACTGAGGTCAAAATATTCGATTCTGGGAGAGCTGTTGAAACCGCGCCGGCTTCGTCGTGCGTTGCTTCAATCTACGTCAGCGGCAAAAGTGGTTTATGACGATTATGAATATGAAAAGCGCGCATTAATCACTATAAGAGCTTTATGTTCCCTATCGGAAAGAGAGTAAAATGATCGCTTATCAGGGAGTACGGTCGCGTTGCTCTTGCCGGAAAATATGCGATATCGCCGTGAAAACAGTCTATAAATAAGCTGTTTTGAACTGTCGCCGAACTTTCTGGCGTCGAGGGGAACGGCACACGAGGGGCATCTCCCGATCAATTTGCCTCATCAATTTTCCCCTTCGACCTCGGAAGGCGATTTTCGCATCGGTTCTCTTCGAACTCTTCGCGAACTCGTTTACCTCGTAAGTAAGCGCGCGTTTCTGCGTGGCGTCATCGATCGAGCAGCGCCGGTCCCGGTTCTTACGAACGAAAGAAGAGCGTTCGATTAACGCGCAGCTTACCGCGAAAGGTGACCATTTCGAAATATTATTCGACGACGTGGAATATTACAGGTCGCTCGAGGTGGGGAAACGGTGACTGTTCTCTCAGTCACGCCGGAGGTTGTCAATGCCAAGGTTAGTACAACGCTACGCGTGATCGAAGCGGTGATAATGATAAGGCGCCGCCTGGCCTATATATGATTCACCTGAGCTGCGGAAATCTTGCCTCATTTCGTTTTACAAAATATACAAGCGTGGACGTCTCAATCTTCGAGCGCTTCCACATTACCTTAATTACACAGCTCTTCGTAGCATTCTGAGTAGCTTTTAAATATAATGGCTGAATAAATATAATGCTCGAGGAATCTTTAGAAAGATCATTTAAAGACGCTTTACCAATTAGATCCTTCTGGACTATGTTTGTATGTTTGCACATCTGCGGAGCTGCGTAGGAAACAAAGTTGCTTCGTATATATGCAAACTGCGGAAGGATTAAAATGACACCGCCTCAACACGACGGTCGAGAACAAAGAGGCGAGTTTCAATCCTTTAAATTGTCGACTTGATACACGCTCGAATGTTAAGAATTATTTTCTGGAAACGCATATCAATTACCAGGACTGTCGATTCAGGAGGAGAAAACGTCGCAGAGCTTCACGAGATTGCGAGAAAATATGGAAAAAATCGCTTGATTTAAGTACCTGAGTCGCGGCTATTTGCTCATTGTGATGCAACAATCGCTGAGCATATTACGACGGGAACCTGACGTTCTCACGACGCATATGAAATGTTAATATTAATATTCTCATATGAAATGTGAGATGAGCTATCTACTCTTTGATTGACAACTTTCTAAATTTAACTTCTTCGTGTCTAATTTATTAAAAAAGGGAAACAAGAATAAAAAATCTAAGTCGACAAAGTTATTCTACATTTCATTAGCTTTCATTTAAAAAAAACATCGAAATCGGTTCAAATTTTGAGGCTGTAGCCTTTTTTGAAATAAGAAATTTTATTTCAGCCCACTGTGCGTCGCGGCGGCAAGATATCTCGTCAAGTATCGCAGATAGTAACGAATACTTACAATTTCCCTGGCGATTTAATCGGCCGTTGTTTCGAACAATTTGCACACAAAAGAGTCAACGCGGTCTCTCTAGCGACCCGCGGGGGGTTGAGTGGCATCCAATTTTCCTCTTTTCCACGCGCACGAACGGCCGCTAATGCCCTCTAAAGTTTTTGGTGTGAAAATAAAACCATGCAGTGAAATATTTGCTTTATTGGAGTAAATATTCACTCTAATGGAGCAAACATTTGCTCCAATAGAGTGAACATTTCACCTCCATGGTTCTCTATTTTCACTCCAAAACTTTAGAGAGTAACGCGAATGCAAGACTACGATAAGGCGTCGCGAATTGCGGCCGCGAACTGTGGCCGCGATGAGAAATAGCGCTGCGATTGTGCTATTGCGATTAACGGAGGCTCACCTTTCGTGATAGCAGACCGGCTGTGGGCGTGCGATCGTTAGGGTCGGACTCGGGGATCGGCTCGTTCGGGTTTTCCATGTGCATGCCCGGCCATCCGACCCAGACTCCATTCCCGTTTATGACAACGGGTGCCACTGCGGTTACAAGACCACCGGCGCTGTAAAACGAGGAAGAAGTTAACGAAAAAAAAAACAGGTACAGACGTGCGAAAATAAGCGGGACTGAGAATCTGACGTTGGAAAAAATATTTTCTGTCGAAATAATTCTTGTTAAGATTTTGACAAATCAGAGTCGGAGGGAGACTTACAGAGTATACTGGATATTTTTATAGTTAAAATAAATTAATTACCGCGCTATACAATTGTTTATTTAGATAGAAAGGCTCTCCTCTTCCCATCAGATGTAACAGTGTTTTGAAAAACATACAATAACTGCGATACCGTTAGAGCGTTAACGGTAATATTTATTTGCGGCTGTGACGCAGTCTAATTATAGGCAGTTCATTTGATTCGCATTAACAGAGCGGTAAGCGATTTAACAGTCGTGCCAAACGCCTTCGAGAATGCGCTTTATCGGAAGTCTGCTTCCCATTTCAATCTGTCCATCGACAGAAACTCCCGTCGGAAAATACAGAAAGCAGATAGAAAATCTGAATATTATTCGTTGTCGAGAAAGAACGGGAAGAATAGATGGCAAAACAGAATGTAGATATCTAGGAACCGTCTAAGGTCACTATCGGAACGTGCCTCGACTTCGAAACGCAGCCGATGGTGTTGCTCGTTTAACATCCAGCATCCAGTCTCAAAGTAATTTTATTTTTAAGCGCAAAAATACTTCCGGCCAAAGAATCGACGTTAAAGATCGACGTTACGCCTATATTAATTCTCGTCTCTTTTACGTCTCTACCTAATCACTCTTGTACCTTAATCGTTTAATGAAAGAAACGCGTGTAAAAGTATCGCTAGAGAGCGAACGCGTCTGCAGTATACCGTATCGATCGACAATCGAGTGTCGCGGCTTTTTGCCAGAGAGAGGGGCGCGTTTGTCGTAATTAATTAATTATACATTTAGCGGACATATTCAAGCGCGACATTGAGTATAATGACCAACTTGTTTACGTAATACATCGCCGGCTGTGCTCGCCTTGTTCGTGATCGGCCAAGAGATTTCCCAACCTGCGTCGAATGCGCGTGAAACGCGTGACGACGTCGTGGCCTTCCGGGAGCCCGCACTCCGATCGCGATTAATATATATGAGTATCGCGTGCGAAAGCAACGGGATGCAATTCGCTAATTAGTCAACACGTGCCTACACGGAGGGAATTTTCTCTTAAAATTTATCCTGAAAATTTCGAAGAACTTCATAAGATTTTTTGAAATTTTACTAGCAAAATGCTAAGTGCAATTACAAGTGTAATAATTACTCTAAACTCTTGTAAAATTCTTTGAATAGCCGTGTTGTCTCACGATTATGCAGTTTTCAGCATCAATTTTAAAAGAAAATTCGCTCCGTGTACAGGCGGATTTTATTTGACATTATACGCGGTTATATTTCTCTTCCTCTACGGACGAGGCGGCAAGTTCATCAATACACAAACAAAAGGAGACGTAGAGATCCGGAATAGACACTCTGTGGATTACGCTGCACTTTATGATCACTTGCTGATCGATCTTTACCCTTTCACGACCACATGTCGGCCCTACTTGCAAAAATTAAAAAGACTCGCTATCAGTAATTTCGCACCGGCTTACTGAAAAAAACGTTGTATCAACAAAAAAAACTGAAAAATAATTCGGTTACAAAAGGTCGAGCGGTAAACAGGCAAAGTCAACGTTTCATCGCGCAAATAAAGAATCACACAAAATCCTACAAGTGGAAACGAATGTTGACAATTCGCGTCTGTTCCCTATCTCGAACAACATCTTTTATCTAATAGTACGCAGTCGCGCTATAATTACTGCTTACACGAGCTTTTATATGGCACTCCTATGACGTAGAAATTGGCGCCGACCTGTGTGTGTGCAATCCGCGCGATCTATTTTAAAGATGTCACGATATCGGATTAGAAACTGATCAAGCCGGGCGTGAAACGTTGGCGACAGCGCCGTCTCAAATCCGCTACGTTCGCGATTCGCCCTCGTGCGCTTCGCGGATGAAAAAATGTAGCTATCGTAGTTACAACCTGCATGTGGTGACTAAATTTTAATTGTAAAATATGGACAGCTAATATTTAATTGTGACAGCTTATTATTTTGCTACTGTGCCTATTGTATTAGGTGCGACAGCAAACCGTTTGCTGTGGTTTAGAAATTTATAGTTGTGGCAGTAAAATATTTTTAGCAAAAACCATGATTAGCTACGGTAGCGAAATTTTTTTTCAGTATTCGGAATCGCCCCCTTGATGACTCGGCATTGATCCCGTTAAGACCGAATCAGACTAGCAATTGTCGATGCGGATTGAATTGGGATTGGCGATTGTCTTCTAGCCAATGAGAGCAAAGCAGCCAGCGATTTGATCGGTTCTCATTGGCCAGAAGACAATCGTTAATCGCCAATCTCAATCCAATCCGAGTCGGCAATTGCTAGTCTGATTCGGCCCTTAATTGCGGGGTCTACAATGCGAGTTGCAGAGTCGTAGTCGTAAGAATAATCGACTATGGTCAATTCTGATGTGTTTGACGGAATTGACCAATCGCAGTCGATTATTCTTACGACTACGACTCTGCGACTCGCATTGTAGACCCCGTATAAGACCGATGGGCGAGCGCGAGACACGTGAATGAGACCGACAGACACGCGGTAGACACGTGCAATGACGCAGGTGGCGGTGTACGCGGCCACTGATCGGCCGCTTGCCGAGAAATTAGTGATAATTACACCGGTAATTGGGCGGCCCAGGTGATCCACGCTTCGTTAGCCCAGCTTGTCCCTGTCGCGCCAGAAAAAACTTCGTTTCCGTTTCGCAAGACTCGAGTTCGCGTATAATTACGCGCTCGCCCCGGAGAACATATCGGAAATAAACACCGATGCGTCATCCGCGAGGTAGCCGAGGTTTCGCAAAAAGAATGTCAGTTTTTTTTAAATTAAGGAAAACTTGATTATGAAAAATTGCTACAAGGATGCAACGGATTAATTAATTCGACGTAATATGTAATTGTCTCTGGAATAAAATTGCGTATCTACGATGCTCGGGTGAATTAGAAACTTTCCTTCAAGGTAAAGAACGCGCGACTTAATTGGACACAATTAGAAAAGTGAGAATTGCACGAGAGGATTTACGGAGATCGGTCTCGAAGGCTTTTCCCTCGCGCGCGTAAAGACCGCATTTTAATATCGACGATTTTTTTAAAATCAATTTCACGATATCAACGATACGCATGTAAGACCGTAAGAATTCGCATTCTAATCTATCGCGGGATACAAAAATTCCGCGTGACATTTTGTAAGAAAGTTAACGCGTACTTACATACATATGCTCGCGATTAGATAATACGCTCGTCGAAAAAAGTTATTTTGAATGCGATTAAGAAAACCGCCTCGCGCACGCCCGCCTTGCCGATACTCTTTTATCAATTCAATTAATCGCATTGCGCTACCAATCTCTCTCTCTCTCTTTCTCTGTTCAAATTGTTCATTATACAAAAATTCTTTCTCACTTGTAATTATTATTTTTTCTATGTAGCTTGTCTAACGCTTTAGGGGACTTGTCCTAGTTCGTTATAATAAATAAAGATTCTCTCTCTCTCTCTCTCTCTCTCTCTCTCTCTCTCTCTGTCTTTTAGCTAGATTTTAGTTGGCACGTATCGAATTTTCTCGATCGCCCACAGATACAGCAGTGCAAACGGCACTTACCACGCGCGAGGTCGTATTGTCAACATATTTGCCAAGCGAGAAGTCGCGGCGTAGACTCTACTATCACTCTCCAAATACGAAAGTTTCAAGTTGAACTTTGTTATTCGCATTTTTGTCGTCGTCCCCCTCCTCCCCCACCTCCCGTTACATCACCGAGCTGCTGTGTATCTGTCGCCTGTGTCTATGTGTACGCGTCGCATGTTTATTTTCTGATACGATGCGTCTTTTAATGAAATAATCGCTCCTTCTGTTTGTGACATATGCACGATCGTCACATATCTCTCCTCCTTCCACCGCGGCTCAAAATCAAACTTGCACTAAGAAACGCGCGGCTTCTTACCATTTTTCTACGTTTCAACCGCGTTACTAACCACAGTACAATTTTGATCGGTGCGACTACAAAGTTTTAATTTAAGGCCCACGTTCTAAGAATTCGTTTTTTAAAAATTATTAATCGGCTTGAACGTTTCTGAACATAAACTCTATCTCGATACGTGTTTTTACTTTAATAACGCCGGATTAAGTGCAATCGAGAACGAGCCCGATGTACACGCACCGGCATAAATGCCGTCCCTATCCTTGTGAGGTGCACGCACACAACTAGAG